CTTAAAATTAGTTAATAAGAGATACTATTAATGAGGTTGTAACTTTTGGTGACTATCAAAATACTTTGTTTAAAGTAAAAATTGCTTCAAATTCTGGGAGTAAAAATGCAAAGTTTATTCATGACTTTTATAACCTGATAAAAATAGTGATTCATGATTGTTTAGAGCACCCCTGAAAGTTGTCAGATATAAAGCTCTTCAAGCGCTCCGTTTTGGATTTTGCTAGGATCGTTTACACATACGGTATTCCCGAGTTTTGTATCCTGGCAATTGGAAAGCATACGGAACGACAATTGTTCTGAACTTACAGTTTTTAGAGCCCTCATCTAAACGTTTGATTGCTATGCTCTACAGTGAAAATACCAGCTTCCTAACTGTTGCCAAACTTAGGAGACTACCTCAAAAACCAAATGCTAATGCATGTATCTCATGCGTATGCCTAGAAATTGTAGAACTGATCCACACAGGGACGTATAAGTGGTGGCTTGTTCTTGGTGTGTAATTCGCTAACTTACCGTAGCCTATCCCCCACTTATATCCCATCTTGGCTTGTGACAGTACGTTATCTGTCTGGGATCCCCCAAAGTATCGTTGTTAGACTTCAGAAAACGTTTTCTCATTCATCGTCTCCATAAACAGCATTTAAAGATTCATACGTCTCCTGAATTTTTTTCGTATTTTCATCGTAAGACTTACTGTAAAATAATAAGTATAGAATGCACGGTCTTTCTTTAGGAAGGGTTTTTGTGATATTATGGTAATCCTAATAGTTGTGATCATGAGTCGATTGAAGCTAGACTATCATGGAAAACCTGCGAGCACTGGACGGCTAAATACATATTCGCCACATAAATCATTCGGTTTGGGATACTGCCCGGGTGCTTAGACTGAAGCAGGTGGTTTTCTTAGAGGGCCACGTCCGGAGCCTTCAACCTAAAGGTGTGATCTAAAAGGTAATGCAACAGTGTCAGGAGATGCAGTCCTACAGTAGACGGTGACCAACAATAGGTTCATACGTCATTTGTTTCCTCAGGATCCTGGAGCACATATGCACCATTGGTTTGGAATCAAGGTTTTCCAACTCCCCTAGGTGGGTCCTCCGTACCCACCACCATCCCGGTTAGAGCGTCAGATATTCGCTTTTCGTTCTCTCAATTTTGCAATCAACACTGCAGTTGCGAAAAGGCAGTGAGTAAAACTTCCCCAGTAGCGGTTTTATGCACGTGGTCATTTGAGAGCATTTTGAAAAGGATAGTTGATTCTCCCCAACCTCGATCATACCAGAGCATTTGGGGACAAACAAAGAGAATATACTATCAGTTATTTGTTTACAAATAAATGGTTTATTTCCTGTTATTTTGGTTATTTATTTATTTATCTAAATTAGTCCATTGATTTATTTCAACTACTACTCATTACTTTAAATAGATGAATATTTAATAGAATTAGTATTTTTCCTCCCTTTATTTTAGTCTGAAAAAGAATTCAACACTAAATATTATTATGAATACACAGTTATCTTATTTGTTGGTATTAATCCTATGAAAGAGAATTCAATCATAAATAATTCAATTAATAGTAATGGTTATATAACAGTGAAAGCTACAGATTTAACAAGAAATTCAGCAAGACAAAAAGCTGCCCAAAATGTAATAAAATGTTTAACAAAATTAATTTGAATAATGATTATTGATTTCGATTATTTTCTTTTTTTTTGTCTTTGTTTTGGTTTCTTCATTTAATTAAGAAATGATAAACTTTGTCCAGCTTTTATTTATCTATTTCTTTTTTTAGGAGGATTCATACGTTTGTAATCATTTAATTTCTTTTTTTTTTCGTTTACTCTTTACAAAATACTTTTTATCCGAAGGGGTTTTGTGGAGATTTTAGAAATTTCAATAGTTGAAATCATGAGTCAACTGAAGTTAGATCATCATGGAGAACCTGGAAGCACTAGACGGCCGTTTCGTCCTAGTATGAGACTCCTAAGCAGTGCGCATCCATGGTCCCGCTCCCCGCGGAGGAGTCCCCATACTATGATGAAGAGGCCGTCCAGTGCTTTCAGGTTTTCCAAGGTGGTCTATCTTCAATTGACTCATGATTTCAACTATTGAAAATACTTTTTATTTTTGCATTTTAACTTCTCAAATTTTATCAAAAGCATTTAAGACAAATTTTTGAATCATTAATACTTTTCTATTCTATAGCTACATTCAGATTCTTTTTCTTTAAACTTAAATCTCTACGATACTTGATAATAGTTCATTTAAATGATAATGTGATTATTTTCAACTGTCTATACAGCACTACTTTTTATTAAGTCAAATTCTTTCTAGTAAACTTTTCACTCATATTTTCATCAGCAATCGTATTTATATGACTAATTGGATTAGTTTTATGATGACAAACAGATTGTTCTGTTAAAATATAAATAAATAATGCTTAACTTAGCAACAATACTTGTTCGTATAATCACAATTGATTGATCACTGGATGGTGATCAATGTCATGTGTATCAAGTCCTTCTTAGTGCAGATCGAATGCTATCGACCAAGTTGCACTGTGGCTACTAGTCTAGGTGGCTCGACATTACGTGCACTATGTTGGGATTAGATGGTGGTTGGAGGTAGTCAACAGGAAACCCTGGACTCTGGTTCCGTGCTGCTTGGCACTCGTCAGCACGGTGTACCTGTAATCTTGATGCAACTGGTGCTTCCTGACGGATTCGATCCCTTGTTACCCAGCTTCACAGTCAGAGATGCTACCACTAGGCTATCCGGGCCGTGACCGACCTCCTGCATGACTGAGATGTAACCACAATTGATTGATCACTGTGTGGTGGTCAATGTCATATGTGTCAAGTCCTTCTTACTAGTTCATATATGCTAGTCAGTAACGTAGAACTTCGTACGTACGTACGTCATTTGCAGTTGCCATACCACATTGGCACATAGATACAATTGTCGATTCAAATCCCATAGTGGTAGAGGTAGTAAAAATATGAGCAGTGATCGGAGAAATTAAGGCTTGGACATGTTATTCAAGAAGTATATTCCAGTGAAATAAATTTGGAAAGAGAAAAGGAAAAGGGACATCGAGAATTCAGACGATTAGAGTTCGGTAGAACACAAATAGTGGATGCACCTACGCCACTGCAAACAATTTTGAGCCATGCCATTCAGGGTCCCTAACCATCGGTTTCTATTATCTCGCGGTCCCCAACGAGGTAGTCTACACCTACCAACATGACTCAGCTCACTTGTCAGTGACTTCATGGACTTGTGCCATGTTTGGGTCTGGCCGCCTCTAGCTTTCTTCCAACCTACTCTACACTATAAAACATCGCTTGTCGTGGCAGTCGGTGGTTGGGCATATGTAACACGTGTCCCAGCTATCTCAACTGATGAAGTTTCACTACTTCATAAAACTTCATATGTTCACCCGTAGCCGATTCAAATTTGCAATGTGGAAATAGTTGGTTAGTCTGTATCGACTGCTTTGACAAGGGAATAAACTATACAGTAGAATTATTTAGACCGTATGACATTACAAATTAACCTTCCCTTTAATCGATCACCACTTTTAAATGTTGGTACTTAATTTAGCTAGCCCCAATCAGGTGTATATGTGCATAAGTTTTGATAGGCCTTCACAAGTAGTCTACATAGAATAGACTACTGGTAATCTCCGACTTAATAAATACGATTTACGTAGCACGTATGTAATTGCATGGTTATGTATTTTGATTTATCTCTTTGAAATTGAGAAACTGCTGAATAGCAGTGTATATAGTTTTCAGGTGGTAATCAATTCACTAGGTTTAGTCTGTTCTTACCATCTTTATTAAGCTATTGACTTAACATGAAATACATTTGGTTGGTGGCATATTAACTCTTCCCTATTTGTTTGCACGGTAATTTTAGTTATAATACGATCGTACACTAAGCTAATAATGCCCCCCCCCCATATTAATAGCTATTAAAGAGACTATTTATGTCATTTTGTTCCCTACCTCTTCGTTATATTAAAATGAGCATAAGTCAAGGGAACAAAAAATCGCTTCGCACTAATTATACTAAGAAAATATTTCATTGAATTTGACCATAAGTCAAATGAACGGAAATTACACTGAATCAATACAAAACTCACAATTAAATCAGTATAAGATCCTTCATTTAATTTCTTATTATTAAATTGTCTTTGAGAACTTAACATCCTCCAAGACATTAGTAGTTCATAAACCTCAGAGAAAGCGATTGCATTTATCATTTTAAGAATTACAGTGAATATTTTATTGACTATATAGCTGACGTCTACCGTGCTAAGTTATGTGAGAGCAATCAGCATTTTGGATCAGGAATTTGTTGTATATCGAACGTTATGGGTGGTATTTTCTTATCGGAGGGTATCACTCGTTCTATGGATAGAAGTAAGCAGACTAGTAGTGAATGGATCTTTATTTATGTCGTGGAAAAGAACAGTTGGAAAGCGAGATTATCTTCTTCAAGCATACAATTTTTTTCAACATTCAACGTAAAATAATAAAGCGAGATAATACCTATACAAATTAAGGAAGTGAATGAATCTTTGAGCCATGATTTTTTGGCATTATTAAGATGCATGCAGCCAACCAACCAACTCGAGTTGTTGCAGTATCACACTAGCCCCCACTAGGTGTCTACAAGAAATTGATTTACGATCTTCTTGTCTGTGATTTAGATGAAACTATATTCTACGCGACTTTGGTTGGCGCTAGAAGCCATCAGCGATCGATTACTGTGGCGTTTCTTATAGCCCAAATGACCCAGCTTTGTGTACCTTTATGCTTTGGTGCCAAATCAGATTCTACTCCAGCAAATATTAAGACAGCTGGTGCCTTTTGTACGTCTCAATTTTATTTTAGATCTATTTATAAATTGTTTGTTGCCATGGTCGCGATAGCTGAACTGTTGTTATACTTAGCGTTTACTTAGATTTTGTAAGGTAGTTGCTTTGTACGATCTCTAGTAAAGTGACTGTTCGTGATTCAACGAGGTCCACAGACCAGAAGTCAAATTAACGGAAATTACACTGAATTAATACAAAACTCACAATTATATTCGTACAAGATCTTTCATTTAATTTTTTATTAGCAAATTGTCTTTGGGAACTTAACATCCTCCAAGACATTAGTAGTTCATAAGCCTCAGAGAAAGCGATTGCATTTATCATTTTAAGAATTACAGCGAATATTTTATTGACTATATGTATGACTGTTACAAGAAGTGGCAGGAAACTAAACTTCTCATATAAAACAAATTCATGCATAAAAACAGCAAACTTCTATGGAGCTAGTCGTTCGTATACCCAACCATTTTCTCCAACGTGTACTAGGTCAGATCCATTTATTTCTGGAATTTGATCACAACGACGAAATCTAATACGATCATGCAGTCTGTTTGTTTGACCTTGCCAAAACTCAATTGATGTCGGAGATAGAATATATCCTCCCCTAGCAAAATACAAATAATAGATTCTTTTCAACGTTATCAACAATGTGTTATCTTGTACAAATGTGGATCGGTACAATTTGTCACATGAAAATAGGATGCACACAACTACCACTATGAAAGTCATACGGTTCGAAATAATAATAGTACTATCAGCGATAGTAAAAGCTAAACATATAGAGTTTAGTCTTTAAAAATGAAATTGAAAGACAAATACTGTGAAATAATGTTAAAACGCAGGAACTGGAGAAAGATGAAGAATGAACGGAAACTTGCCAGTGCAAACGATTTCGTCTAGTGTCAACCACGGTATTTAGTCATAGGTTGCGGTTCTGTAAAATAGTCAATGATTAATTTGGCTTCATTTAGCCTATCAAACTATAACTATTTTAGTCACTATAACGCGTCGTGGTAGCCAATGTTCTTCTACATTTCTGAAACCTCAGTGAATGAAAGTTCACAACACCGTCGAACGGTTTATAATCTTTACCTAGTAACTACATCTAATTTCAGTATTACCAACTTGGTTTTATAGAAACGCCACATCCCATAATCAAAACAGGAACAATCCATTATAGCCAAACCAACGTTGTGACTGACTGACTGAGCCAAACTGACTAATAATTGCTGAAAATGTTGAGATGCACGTTAATATACCATAAACTTAATGTCTTTAGTAGCGAAATTCACGCATATAAAAGATATAAATGCAGAAGCAGGTTTTATATTTTACGATGAATTGTTGTAATAACAAGTGGTCAACATAATCAGCCATCGTTTAACTCAGTAGCAGCTACAGGTCAGCATTTTAATCTTATTGGTGTTAAGTAATGAAAACTGCCTGCACTCATGAAGAAACTTAAGAATCGTAGGGTCCAAATCTACTGTTTTTTTAGCATAATCATTATTTGACTGATCAACAGACTCGACATAAAGTTTGTGAAACCACATAATTGGCTAATCATTACAACAAATTACCTAAGAATAGAAAATGAGTAGGTTTAAAATTTACCAACTGAATATGAGAATCTATCGTGTTACTTGTAAAATTAGTAACGAGCAAATAACTAAATCGGTTTTTATATATGCTTAATTCTGTTGTTTTTTATGTGATATAGGTCGTACAGCCAGATGAATTCATCATTGTATTTCTGATCACTCATTATGGTGGATCAAAGGATAATAGAAAACAATAAGAAGCCATGATCTACTACGTTTCGCCGATACTAGCCGTCATGTCAGTATTTCAACTTTTAAAGTTATCAACAGAGTTCTACTGAACTCAAAACTAAGACTCCTACATACAACAGAAGCCATAGAAATACACATGAACAAACCTTATCTTCTGCATACAGGAGACGCTTTTATGGCTCCTTAATCTACCTTAGCCTTCTACTTAGTCACTTTTACATTTCTCAAGAAAGATTTTTAATCTTTTCAATGCCGATTCCATTTTATTTCCTGGTTTTATTCTTGTGTACCTTGCCTTTATAAGCTGATTATCTAATTTTTGGCACAATCTTTATTACTTATCTATTATCAATTTTGCAAGTAGCATTATTCATTCATATTGAGATGGTTTGAATTTTCACCATTTATTTGATATGGATTTCATACTTAACCGTAAACCAATATATTTGTGAAGATCTATGACCAGGAACTAACTAGAAATAAAAACCTTTTTTCCTTTGACTAATTTGTAAATAGGAGAGATATTTAGACGATTAGTGCCTGTTTGACATGTAAGACTAGAAATCTGAATGTTGGGTATCATGTACCATATCAGAAGTAACTAAGTTAATTAGTCTTCTGATATTGAAAATATAGGTAGATAATGATATGATTCCCACTAGACATAAATAGTTAATTCATAAAGGCATATATTAGGAACGTACCAATTTGAAGGCTTTGGAAGCTTTTCTCTCGCAGCATATTCATTTTCTAATTCTACGTACTTTTTGTCCAGAAACTATTTGAAGCGAGAAAAAAACTATACTATTATCCTAAGACGTTGTGAACCAATTCGATATGGTGTAGTCAGATGAAAAAATGGTTGAAGAAATATAAATGACTACTTATATATTACACTCTAGAATCAAGAATCCTACCACATGAACAAATAACATTGAGGAAGAAGTGGTGAAAAACGAATGAAGTGTAAGGTTTAAAGTTTCTGTAGTAAATAAACTGATTGAACACCTATAGAAATGAGGTGGTTGAACAAGACGTGACATACATACAGTTTATCTGTGCATGGTATGTTGGTTAAGAGATCGTAAAAAGATTCATAGTTAATATACAAAGATGCAGTACCTATTGCAGAAGTTCCAAATCGTTGTTTTGATATGTTTATTTGTAATGAATAAAATACATAGAATGGAGATTGAGTAGTTGAGAAGGTTAGCTGACATAACAAAGATTTACATAATGGGGATTTATTTACATGCTCCTTCAAGACAATTTAAAGATTAAACTGTCAGAATCATCTGAGCTTTAAGTAATTTATGAATCTTAACAAGTTCTAGACTAAAGTTATTATTAGAAATATTTTAATGAAAGTTTCGGTCTCTTCCTTATATGAACATAAAAGTTGCGTTCGATTAAAAAGATATCGTAGGAATCCATATATATATATATATATATATATATATATATATATATATATATATATATATATATATATATATATACTGAAGTGAGAAGAAAATTCGTTAATCCAAATAATGTCCTATTCATGGTGATTTTATTTAGATTAATCACGCCCATCATCTATTTCACCACTTACTACATACAAAGTATAAGAAGTATGTGTATTATATTATATATCAACAGATTAGAAATGCTACGCTTACTGAGATAATCAGAATTCACAGTCAAAATATGAAGTTTACATCTATGAGGAAACATTCTTTAGTATGTTTAGATGAAGAGCGCTTTAGTACAATCAAACACAAACTTTCAGTAAGATACTGTATTCATTTCAGATATTGAACTTACTTCACGACAAGGAATTGGTTCACTTTGTGAACTAACTGTAGCAGAAATTTGACTAGCCTTCGGGCGGGACTGAAAATATTCTTCACTCTCTACCTCTGAAGCACGTGAAACAACGCCTTCCACACGTACCTACTCAGAAAATATAATTTGAATGAATGTATCTAGAAACATTTTTGATAGGAAGCACATCAAGTTACAATACATAAAACATCATTTTTAACACATCAGCGAACCGTAACTACCAATCTTGTGGTAATTTTGTACTTACTGTTAAGATGTTAGTATTTTTCCAAAATAATTCTTTTACAGTATACGCTACGGGCATCAAGATGGTAGGGAATATTTTTATTTCAGGTAGATGATTTTGGTGAACTTTCATTGAGTCAAACTACCTAACTCAGAGAATGAAAGTTTACTGAAATCTTTGAACTTCACTCTAATATTGAAGACGGCAAATAATATATTTTAAACCACATTTTACTAAATCTACAATTCGTTTTTCCCTAAGTTATTTTAAAGAATGAGTCGATAAATGTTATGTCTGATTCTGTTCTAACTGCAGGATGCTTAACTGATTTGGCCTCTAAAAGAAATCAAAACGATATAAAAATATACCAACTTTTATATGAATTAACCGTCAGACTCGTATGAATTAAAATGAGTAACATTTAACACTAATGAATCAGTAACTTACTGTGTGAACACATTTACAATCTCACATAATGAAGAATCTATAGCCAACAGATATGACCAATTTAATACTTAGTTACTTACGCCTGTTACTCCCAATGGAGCATAGGCCGCCGACCAACATTCTTCAACCCACTCTATCCTGGTCCTTTTTTTCTAGTTCTATCTAATTGTTGTTCACTCTCCTGATATCTGTCTTCATTTTTCAGTGTAAAGTGTTCTTTGTTCTTCCTCTTTTCCTTTGGCCCTAAGGATTCCAAGCGGGGATGTCGGGTGGGTTCAGTGGGGCTGGTCGATTCAAGAGTTCCTTGGAGTGCTCTACTCACATGTTTCGCTGTTCTTAAACGTTGGTGATTACTTTGCCCTCCTTGCTTCTCACTGGTCGTTCTGGTTTACGATAATTTCCAGCGAGCTTCTTTGTTGCATCATACTATTGTCTCATTTTTTGTTTTCTTGCAGCCTTTTCCGTCACCATTGCTAGATCTTCCACATATTTACGTTTGTTGGTTCTGATGCTCCTCTTCACTTGCTTGTTTACTTCTGTGTATTTAGCTTGTGTCTTGGCTTTCTCTGCTCTTGTTCGGTTGATATTGATTGCTGTCTTCTTGTTCCTCCTTTCTTGAATCTTATCTAGTGTGTCAACTGTGATGCATTCCTTGTGATGGTGCTTCATGTGACCCAAAACCTCATGACATGTTGAAGTGATTGCCTCCTTGATCCTCATTAGAATGAGTTTACATGTCACAGATGATTAAGTTCATGTCATTCGCACTCTAATCGATCAAGTCATCAGTCTCCATGTAAATAAAAATATGCATTCATTGTAATAATCATTCAATCTACTTGTTACAATAATATGATTAAATGAATTGAATATGCATCAAGGAATTAAAGCTATTGTTTATGCACCGAACATTCAAACATAATCGTATGACTATGAACTATTTGACAGATAAAAAGTGGTCACTAACGGATAAAAACGAATATTACTAACGGTCTTTCATTTCTGCCTGTTGTAACACATGTCAATAACAAGTACGTTTAGTGACCCGTTGATCTGACTCCAATTTCAAAGAACGAATGGATATTTAATGAGTATAAGTCTTCTACTTAACTCCGTATACTACACCTAGGCTAACCCCGTTTGTGTGACTGTGGTAATAAAGAAGCCAAATACACGTTGGGTTGGATGGGTTTGTTTCAAGCATTAGTTTATTCAGACAGATATTTAGAATGAAAAGTGGGAAAGTGAGATGGAGAAGGCGAGTAAACCAATTCGTTTTAACCAACAGTGACTTAATATTTATAACCAAAAATAAACCAAAGACATGTGATGAATAGGGTAAACAATACGCACACAAACATACGCTTAAATGAAAAGTTAATGTTATAAGCAGATAATTGACAAGGTCAAAATGTGAATCAAGAAGAATGGAGAAATCAGTCTTTCCCGAAGCCATAATAACCCAGATGAGTTTGGCACAGTACTAGACACAACACAGGTAAAACAAAATGTCCAGCATAGTATATATGCCGGAATCTTCTGAAATATCACCAAATGCTTTTTTGACACAATAACCTATCTCATAGGAAAAAATACAGCTGAAACAATGCATAGGATTCAGAAAGAAGAATATACATCATAGACATCTGAAACATTGTTCGTGTCAATCCAATTTCGATATTTCCATAATGATGCTAATATGTTGACAGTTTGTCAATTTATCAGTCATAAATAACATAGGACATCGAACATATTTTAATTAGTTGAAGTTGCGAAATCATATCAGCACATCAGAAAGATTAAGATAAATACTTCAGTAGTAGAAGCAAAAGTATTAGTGACAGTTTACAACATTAAGAAAGGACTGAACTATTCGGGAAGAAAGAACTAATTTGCGGAAAAAAACAGTATAAACTAGATTTAAAACTCAGAATTTAAAAGAAGACAAAGCGTGAATGTATTTGCTCCCGAGGCATCTTGTTGACTCTAATATGACGATAGACGATAACGAAATATAAAGCCTTATTTACTTCATAGATGTTCTGTCAACTATACCTGTTAACAACAACGGAAATTGAGAAATTTCATAGGTTGAATTCATGAGTCGATTGAAGCTAGACCACCATGGAAAACCTGGAAGCACTGGACGGCCGTCTCGTCCTAGTATGGGACTCCTCAGCAGTGCGCATCCACGATCCCGCACCACGCGGGATTACTATATATATATATATATATATATATATATATATATATATAAACTTTAATTATCCTGTACAATTAGTGCGGCTTGTATGCATGGGTAGTGTCACAAAACTCAACAGCCAATAAAATTTTCAAATGAAAAAGACCCTAGTCAAGATCCACTGATCATGCTGACATCCAATCAATTACCGATAGGCTATTCAGTCAAACTTAATATTCTGACTAATCAAATTGTGATAAAAACCAAAATTCAACATTTCTAACATATTTCATAGGTATGTCTAAAATATGACATGTAGTAAATCAGTCTAAGGACGTTATATCTTCTTTTTGTTGTGCATATCAATTGAAGATTTATCACCTTGCACATTTGGTAGAAATTTCCATCTTCATATAGATTGCAATTGTGGTTTTAAAGAACACTAGAAATGTATTAGAACAGAACACTCATAATTACCATATTTTTGTTGTTACGGTAAGTGTCCGAAATCTGATACTGATACACGACGCGCTACGAGCTACCCCCCCCCGACTGACTACTCGAGCGAGAACACGAGATTGGACGATAAAGAACATTGTGCTACCGAAAAAAATGCACAGCCACTCATTTATATATATACAACTCTACTCCCCCCCAGAAAATCAATCCATTTCTTAGCCAATGAAATGCACTAGTCTTTCAGGTCACTACTAACTGCCATTGGCTGACATAATTTGGCTACTTCTGATTGGATGATCATATCAATTTTCATTACCCCCAAATTTACCATTTAGTGTTTACAGACGACGTGATTAATGATCAAATACCTATGAATTACGCATAACTTAATGATAACTTAATGATTAAGTCTCAAGAGATGCAAACTAAAATAAAGAAATACCAATAGATAAATTCATCTTTCGGCATGTAGTCAGGGATCCAACCCGCCAACCATATATGTTGATGAGTGCTAAAAGAACCTTTTGTATTCATGTTGAGATTTTGTAGACTACCAGTCGTTTATCAGGGTCGATTTAACTCCTTAAATAAAGAATCGAGTGATTCAAATAAACGTGATTACTGACTGTTTTAAATATAATTAATCTGTTAGGATAGTCGGAGGAATATACCAATAATTATTGTGTTAAGTCTGTGGTGGCCTTGGACCTTAAATGTACATTTCCTATTGGTCGATGTTTACTTCACTTGTTAAATATTTTGTAAATGTTGTTTCCTATTTTATGGTACGATGTGGTATGCTTGATTGGTATATAAACAAAGTATGTTTGAAATATAATGATTCATAACTCTGAGGCTGTGACTTGCGTTCTTGACTCAACTGGCTAGGACAGACAGCGAAGCAGGGCCAATCAGGGCACTAGGTCGTCCTTACGTGTTTTCCGTGTCACTGTCATAGAAGCGATCGATAATAACGCTGCGTATCAAAAACCTGCAGTCACACCCGTTACAACATAATCAATTGCATTTATTTTATAGTTTATCATTAATTGGTGATCAAAACTTCTTTGATATATATGTACATCTATAAGAACAATAAAAGTCAATCCAATGAATAAAAACTAAATCTTTGAGAGCGATGTTCACCAGGTTTTGATCCTGTGATAGCATAAAAAATTACTTAAACTACAACGTAACGCTACACCTGAATCCAATTTGTAATCAATTTCAGTTACTATCTAACGAAAATTCAGACAAATTAAAAGCCTTATTCTTTTGCTATTGCCTGGAGGACTTTCTAATCTTGAGTATGCGGATTATATTGTCCTACTGTGCTACCTGAACTCTCCGAGTTGAAGATGTTAGACAACTCTGTGTTTGATTACCGTCGTTTCCAAAGGATTGCTAACATCCAGTAGCAACACTATTTTAGTCATGCAGAGGTTCTTCATCGTGTGTTCGGACACAGCGATGATGATTCAATTGTTGTCACTTTCGTGAAACATCGAGTTCGGTGGCTTGAACATGTTTTACGAATGTCTGCGTAGAGACTTTCACATAGTACATTATTTGCCGACTCTGGGACCGGTTGGAAAAGGCGGAGAGATGGTCAGTGTATGACATGGTGTCGTGGTATGAAAGAAAGCTGCTGTTGGTCCCTCACGACACCCTGATTGGGGTCCTAGAGGTGATCCAATACAGTGGCTAGAGACGTTCTCAGACATGACTCAGAATAGAATCCAGGGGCGATCCTGCCGTGACATTCTTTTACTTTCTTCATAAGAATGAACGTATCTTCTTTAATTGAAAGAACTTTTTCTGGTTGTACTTTAGCCAACTGAGCTGTCTCCAACCACTATTATCATTATTACTTCACTCGAGTGCACTAATTTCTATTCCGTTTTGCTCTATTTTATTATACTCATCTTCCTTTCTCTATCACCTTACAATCTCTTTGTTATTGTGTGGCGCATATGTATCTGGTGCCTCTTGCACCAATGTTTGTGTCCAGGTAAATAATACATTATGAGCTTGATGATCTAAAAGTTTTAGATCAGTTAAATGGACAAATCATTTGGTCATCATTACTTAAAAGGGATTTTAAGATTTGGCTTAAAGATTTCTAAATGATCAACTGTTCTTACCTGACGTTTAAGAGGTTCCCAATAAAAAACAAGACTTGCATGTGGATTACTATCAAGCTCTTGAGCTTTTCTGCTATTATAATTAGTGAAAAAATGAAATCCATTTTCATCCAATTCTTTCAAAAGAACAAACCGTACACTTGGAATACACTGTCTGACAAGAAAATTTTCGATATAAATTGATTAATAAGACAAGTATGAGGAAATAAAAGCATTAAATCAACTGTGAATGAAAAATAAACACTTTTATACAATACCTTATGATAGTTCTTTTAGCGTTAAAATCTTCACCAGTATTTGTGTAACAATGTTCTTGGTTTAATTAATGTGAAATGTCTCGACAATTCTGTTTATAAACAATAATTTTATGGGAACATTTTAGGTAAATCCCTATTAAAATTACGCAAAATTTAGTCTCATTTCACAGTGGAACCTGTATTTATGGTTTAATATAAAAATTATCCTAGTAATAAATGGATCTTTATATAAGTATATATTTTTGATTTCATATTCAGTTCCAAATAACTGGTCGGTGACCAATGCTCCACGAAGAGTAACAGATGTAAGTCTAAATAACAGCTTGATATAAGAAATTAATCGACAACATTTATTTTAAAAACACCATGGGTATATATTATGTGATGAAATTGCGTTTACTTTCCCCACCAATCTTTGAATCTCTGAAGTTAGTGAACATAAGTCTAAGTAACAGGATAGACAAACGACTTTGCATGGCGAGAATTTCAGACCAAAATACTTGGAATACCAATCTGTATGAAAGATTTCAGAAAAAAATTTTCAAAAGAAGTGAATAGACGTCATCGATAACACGTTTTTTCTGAGCACCCATTTACACAAACGAGGGGTTTAAACAATTTTTACTGGTTTTTCTAGGATATAGTTGTCATTCAACCTTAGAAAAAACTAATGGAGTAACCTGGAAGCACCAGAAAAGAGTGATATTGAATAATCGTAAAATAATATAGCTTTATTTTTGAAATGTATCTATGGATTAGTGTATTTAGCTTTTTTATCTTCGAATAATGATCACTACAAAAGTTATGATTGGCACCCCTAATCAATCGTTTGCTAATTCGAATTCTTCTTTAATTTGATAAAAACATGTCAGAATAGTACGTTTAATTTAAGAGCTATTTTGAACAACAAGAGTCTACAAAAACAAACGTTTAGTACTTTTCATTGAAGTTAATCAATATATGGGAAAAAGATTGCTCTAAGATCAAAGAGAAATTTCAGCCAACATTGATTGATGCTAGAAATTTTTTCTATAATTTCTATATCAGTAAACCAACGGCCTATAATCCAGTAATATACAGGCCGACGGTCCATAACTACGTTTAATGCTAGTTATTAACAACAAATGCTATAATTCCCTCTCAAATGCATTCGATACCTGGTGATGACCACTTTTTGAGAACTTACTATAATAGCCACTAACAGTTAGTTGACAGAGTTACAACATGAATGCCTAAACACTCACATCATCAAAGATAAACTGAACATCTTGAGTTTTCATAAATTCGATTAAGACTCACTGACATGAATATTTCCTACGAATATATATAACCGTTTCAAACATCGAATATTTTTTAACGATTACAATATATTAGAACAAGGTCCTAGATAGTCCATCAAGCCAAGTATACTTCCATCAACTAGGGAAGAGCCATAAATTTATAACACGCCAAATAATAAAGATATACTTCTATGGTTACTGACCTCCAACTTAAAACTGTACATGATTGACCATATGCTACTGTTATATATTCAGCAAATAAATGACTATTTGTTGAGTCTAACAATTGGCACATGATTTACTATTTCTTCATAACCGCGCTAAAAGTTAACATTGCTTTTGGGTACGGATGTTTACTCACCCATAATTGTATGCAATCAAATCAGAACAAAGTAATTTCCAATTAATCTTTGACTACATATCTTGTACAATGGAAGTGTAACTTATAGATATAATATGAGAAAAACAAATATCGCAGTAACTTACTTGCTACACGTTGCAAGAGCCATTGCATTAGGTTCAAAAACATTTTCACATTTGATAGCTTCTTCAAACCACGACTTAAACAAAAGTAAAGGATCTTTGTACTTTAAATTTATAATATCGAATATATCATTGGATTTTCTATATGGAACTCGTAAATCTAAAATTACAGACACAATTAGCAGAAGCAAATGCTAGCACTTACGGCTAATTTTCAGTTGGTTGTTCATGGTTGACAGGCTACAGTAGAACGTTCGTAGCATAAAAATCTGGCAACAAATTTATTGCTTCCTATGGAAATGTCTTCAAACCAATAAAAGAAGCTGAAGTGCTAAGATAAGAAAAGCAATGAACTTTTTAACACAAGACATAAAGATACACTTTTTGACAAAATATTGTTTTGAATTTTTCGGTGATTTGGTGTAATCTAATTTAGTAAATTTTGATCCCATCATTTTATTTGGTCCATACTGTTTAAGCGGTAAGAGAAAAGTTGAGAATACATAAGTAGCTATTCGAGTTATAAGATTTAAAGTCCGATTATGCTAACTTATTCTTTTGTATTTGTACGAATTCATCAATTTACGGCTTTATTGCATACTGCTGAAAGGTTAGCCAACCAATAGTAATGAACATCAGTACATGGTTCAAAACTTACCTAAGTGCGATTCCGGAGGAGCAAGTGACTAACTACAAAAAAATCGTTATAACTCATTACTTTCTCACTTTTGTGCCAGCGATGCTCATTTAATAATCTCATTACATGTAAACAGTCCTTAACGGGTGCTGATAATCAGACATGTGAAGCCTTCTTGTCCACAATTAATTATTATACACAAACAAAGTAACAGGGGTTACAACTGTGTAGCAAAATCATGACTCTGGTGAAAAGTTAAAACTCTCGTCAGAGACCTAGGTGACAAGAGAAGGTTCTAGACGACTTCTATACTTAGAGCATGAGATTATAACTAATCTGCATAAAAAGACGAACAGAGCGGAGAAATGCTAACCTTCAATTAGTGTGTTTTCAAGGCTTTCACCAATATATATATATATATATATATATATATATATATATATATATATATTATTTGGAACAATGAACTAGAATCAATCGAACTTTAACTTACCCCTTTTTTTATTATGTGCCTACATTCATTCTGCTTTTGTGTTTTCGCATAGTTTTGACATTCATTCCTTTACCCTATTGTTGAATCAACGTTTTGTCAAGACATTTTGTTAATCTTCTCATTAAATATGATTAAGGTTGGCATAGTTATTTTTAATTTACATATCCTAGTTACTTTATCACACTTTCAATTGCTTAGAAAATTATTCGACATTACTTCTTTGATCACTCCTAAGAGTATAACACTACAAATAATAATTATTATATTATTGTAAAACACGTCTTAGAGCGGAGGAATGATGAGAAAGTAAGAACAAGATTATGTCATACCAAGGACTTTCAGAGTTCATAGGCAGGCTCCAGGCTAATCAACCAAGATGCAGCTTTCGTGTAAGACCGCGAGATTCTGTGGTAGTGTCTGTCATTGAAAGGCGTACCACAGAAGTACATAAACCTTGTAAAGGCGCTTTACTCGAACACTACCAGTCGAGTCAGAGCTTATGGCGAACTGTCATCTACTTTTGCAACCTCAAGTGGTGTCTGTCAAGGCTGTCCACTTTACCCATTTTTGTTTAACTTCATCATAGATTTACTGATAGAAATAACATTCTTGTCGACTGAGTTCTCGGGTATTGATCTCCATCCAGGAGGTCCACTTATCGACTCAGAATACGCAGATGACATAGTCCTGTTTGGTGAAGACGCTGACAAAATGCAGAGTCTTCTGGTAGCACTGAGCAACAATGCCAGGATGTTTGGAATGCGCTTCTCTCCCTCTAAATGCAAGTTGTTGCTTCAGGACTGGTCTGCGTCAACACCTGAACTAAGAATAGGGAGTGAAGTAGTCGAACGCGTTGGCAACTTCACTTATCTTGGAAGTCTGATCAGCCCTAATGGGTTGGTATCGGACGAAATGTCAGCACGGATTCGAAAAGCTCGTTTGGATTTTGCCAACTTACGTCACCTATGGCGAAGGCGAGATATCCGTCTATCAATAAAATGACGAGTATACTGCGCGGCAGTCCGTTCTGTTTCAGTTTACGGCTGCGAGACATGGCCATTAAGAGTAGAAGACACTCGTAAGCTATTAGTATTTGACCACAGATGCCTTAGAAATATTGCTGGCATCTGCTGGGATCACCGGGTAAGTAATAATGAGGTTAGACGCAGGGTATTAGGGAATGATGGTAAATCAGTTGATGAGGTTGTGGATCTTCATCGACTGAGATGATTGGGCCATGTGTTGCGTATGCTTGAACACCGATTACCACGACGTGCAATGCTATCCGGTATTGGAGATGGTTGGAAGAAAGTTAGCGGCGGCCAAACCAAAGCGTGGCATCAGTGCTTGAAGACACTAACTTCTAGTCTGAGCCATGTTGGTAGATGCAGACTACTTGGTTGGGGTCCGCGTGACTATCGTAACCAATGGTTGGAGACTCTTAGTGACATGGCTCAGAATCGATCACAATGGCGTCGGTGTGTACACTCCCTGTCTTCCTTTAAACTAAGAGATTAAAATCGCTTCATATCTTTCTTTCTACGAACCAATTCTTTCTTCTTGTACTATATCTCTATGTAATCTTTCTCTTACATATTACTACCTTTGACCTAACCACTGCTATGAATCCGGTGTTCATCTTGTTGTGCTGATGCGGTATGGCAACCTGGACCGATGCACATATGTGCCTGGTCCTACGTTGTAGCTGACTGACTGAATATAGGAAGATGATAGAAGTATGAAGGATGGGATGATTGAAAACCATTTATGGGCTTCTTGATGCTAAATATAAAAACTTCAGGTTTGATATCACTTTTTGCGGTAAAAGACCCAAAAGTTTAGCTGTACATCTTTGAAAACGTAACTCCCAAACCAAAATTTTGGCGAAAGTGCGACAATTCGGCGGATATTTAGGTGAAAATTCGCAAATTCAGCGGATATTTAGGCGAAAATGCGACAATTCGGGGGATATTTAGGCGATAAGTCGGTAATTTGTCGACAAAACGACGAAAAAGGGGAAAATCCGCATTATTTCCCTCGGACAGGCGAAAAAGGCGACATTCTGATGCGTTTTCCCCTTTCGCTACCAAAGCATTTACCCATTTATTTCTCCTTTGTTCGCCTTTATTTACTCTTTTTGGGTTGCTTGGGAAACTCCTCGCACATAACTCAGAACCCTAAAACTTTATAATTCGGGCTCCTGATCCTAAAACCACTCGACTCTACATTATAACTACCAAAAAATTCGACCCATTTTGGGGAAGCCGATATAGTCTCGTCCTGACAGTTCACAACGAAATTATTCGGAAACAATCAGTAACAAAGCAAGCATCATATTAAAATAATCTTATGATCAAAAGCGTGAGCTAACAAAATGAAATATCAAAAATACCCCAAGGGCATCCTAAGCGTCGCTTATTTTTCACAGTCTAGTTAAACTTCAACTAGCCGGTTATGTTGAATTGTGGTGTTTTACACTTAGTTTACAGTCACGATGATTTTTAAAGAGCTATGAAGAGGAAAAAGGAACGGAGAAAATGTGAGCTAAATTCGGAAGGCGCGAAACGTGTAATACCAAGTGATTAACACTTGAAACCTACTATCAGAAATGGTTGCCACGAAGCTACAGAACAACGAGAAGTCAAGTAATAATCATACATGCTCAAAAAGTTCAGAGAGGGGATTTAAAAGCCTACACGCCTTGTCCATCTTGCGGCCAATTAAAAAAAATACGCAAAACAAAAGACACAAAAGTACCCAATCCATTCGTATTACTAACAGCGACAGTTTTTTTCTTTCTCCAAAAATGTGTATATAGTTAGGTTGATTTTGCACGTTTACCTGTCTGATCATATTTCTTATTTTCTCATAATTATGAATTAATGAATTTTTGATTGCTTTCATTCGGTATTTTAAGAGCTTTTCCTCTTGCGAAAATAACAAGAAACTCGCAGTTTTTCTTCATTTTAATCGCAGGACGTTATTGTTATATCCTGACGAGAATAACGGACATTAACAGTTGGGATCTATTCATGAACGAATTAATTGTATTTAGAATTTAATACCGGGCACACATCAAATACAAAAGAATCATCACATCATACGAACACCACAGATGAACAAGAAGACAGCAGTTAACAACAGTCGAACAAGATCAGAGAAATTCAAAGCACAAACTGAATACATAGGAGCAGACAAGAAAAAGAAGAAGAGCATTAGGGCAGACAAGCAGAAATACATCGAACATCTACTAGTGAAAGAGGAAAAGGCTGCAAGAGAAGGAAATATCAAACAAACATATGACATAACGACGAAACTAGCAGGGAAATATAGTAAACAAGAAAGATCAGTCAACGACAAAGAAGACAATCCATTCATTAATATTAAAGTACAGAGTAACATCTGGGCTACCTGTTACTGCCATCCAGACATTTCAATAGGTCATCTATTTTGTTTGTTCTAGTACATCATGTTGACCATTAATCGCACAACCTATTCAGGCGCGTTTCTGAAATGTGTACAACCTGACGTTTTCTGCCGTGTTAATATGTAGCGAAAAGTATGTACATTATTTCGATGTCGAGTTACAGGACTGCCAACATCTACCGTCAGTATCGACCAAGAAGGAAGAAACGGAAACTTGTTGAAACACTTTGTGCTGAGAATTCTTGATTGTACTAAAAACAAAATATCGGACAAGGCTTATAATAAAAAATAGGAGAGGAATCAATGGTAATGTGTGGGGAAAATTTGGGAGAAAGAACGAGTACCGACAGACTGAGAAAAAGGATATCTCGTCAAAATACCGGAAAAAGGAGATTTCAGCGAATGTGAGAACTACAGAGGCATCAAACCATTGTCAGTACCAGGAAAGGTTTTCAACAGAGTGTTGCTGAACCGGATCAAAGATATAGTAGACGTCTAGTCTCCAGGTCAACAGACGGGACCCCATAACGACCGGTCGTGCACACACCAAATCGTGACACAAAGGATCATCGTTGGACAGTGCAACTCGTCACTATGCAATAACTTTTGTGATTATGAGAAAGCCTTTGACCCTGTGAATAGAAGAACATTTTGTAAACCTCTTCGATACTGTTGTGAGTAACTAGGAAAGTCGTCAACGTCATACG